ATTTTGATATTTCAAGAACACAGAAGGTTCTTCAGGTTCATCGTGAACTACATGCACTACCAATTCGCGGTTTTCCTTTTCGGCCTGTTGGCAGCCCCATGAGTGTTTACAAAGTGCATGGTGGCAGGGGGTTCAGGTTTACCCTTACCTCGATGACTGGCTGGTCAAAGGCCAGACCAGGGCCGAAGTGATGTCCAGCATATTTTTAATTCAGTTGACTTAACGGGACCTAGGCCTATTAATAAATGTGCAGAAATCTGCTCTCTTCCCAATACAGAAGATAGAGTTCACTGGAGTGGTGCTTGACTCTGTCCAAGCCAGAACCTTCCTCCCAGAAGGATGGTTCCAGGCAATCATGATGATTACAGAGCACCTCAGAGATCAGTACAACAGTGCGGCGCATCACCCAAACCTAGGGTGACCAGAAAGCAACTATGAAAAAATGGGACACGGGATGGGGGGTGATAGGCACTTACATAAGAAAAAGTCCCAAAAAACAGGTCACCCTACCCAAATCTCATGTCCCTCCACCTGACAGCCTGGAAGCTCCATGGCTAGACCCCACAGAACTAGCCTGCTCGGAGCAGGTCCGCAAAGTTCTACTAGGAAGCAGGAAGCCATCCACCAGGACTAATTACCTCACAAAGTGGAAACGGTTCTCTATCTGGTCTTCCCAGAAGGGTCTTCCTATGCGATCATCACTGTCATTCGTTCTGTAATACTTACTGCACTTAAAACAGCAAGGTCTAACTGTGGCATCTATTAGAGTCCACCTGGCAGCGAACTCAGCCTTTCATCTTGGGTGAATGGCCAATCCGTTTTTTCGAATGACATCGTTTCCTTAAGGGCCATGAGAGGTTGTACCCTCATGTGAGGCAACCAGTCCCCCCCCCGGGACCTCAACCTGGTTTTATCAAACCTCCCCCATTTGACCCATTGGCAACTTGTTCCCTGCTCTACCCATCATGGAAGATGACCTTCTTAGTGGCCATCACTTCGGCCTGAAAAGTTTCAGAGATCCGTGCCCTCATGTCAGAGCTGCCTTACATGGTGTTCTTTAAGGACAAAGTTCAATTGTATCCTCACCTGGCTTTTCTTCCAAAGGTCGTTTTCCAGTTCCATAGCAATCAATCTGTCTTCCTACCAGACTTCTGTCCAAAGCTATATGCGAACAGAAAAGAACGGAGTCTCCACTCGCTAGTTGTTAGGCATGGTCTGGCTTTCTACATAGAAAGGACAAAACTGTTTCAAAAATCTACCCAACTGTTTGTAGCCATTGCACACAGGATGAAAGGTCTGCCTCTCAGCCCAGAGAATTTCATCATGGATCACATCATGAATCCGCACATTTTACAACCTGGCAGGGGTTCCTACCCTGCCTGTCCTAATGACTCATTCTGCAAGAGCACAAGCATCTCCAGCACTGTTTCTAGCACAGGTACCTATCCAGGACTTTTGTAGAGCAGCAACCTGGTCGTTGTGCACACATTTGCTTCTCATTACGCCATCACTCAGCAGGCTGGAGACGATGCTGAGTTTGGCCAAACTGTTGAAGTCAGCATGTCACTAAACTTTTGAATCCTCCACCTCTACCTATACAACTGCTTGGGAGTCACCTATAATGGAATGGACATGTGCAATCACTCAAAGAAAAAAGTTACTAACCTTTCCGTAACTGTTGCTCTTCAAAATGTTTTGCACATTCCAAGACTTGCTCTCTTACCCCAATTCGGAGTTGACTGGAAAGAAGGAACTGAAGGGCACAGGGTTGGCCAGGCCCTTTATACTGGTGCTAAGAGCATGGAGCACCAGAGGGCGCCAAAGCTGATGCAACAGGTACCACTGAGGAGAAAATTGCTGGTAGCTGTGCTCAGGGTACGCACACACCTACATTGGAATGGACTTGTGCAACACATCTGGAAGAACAGTTACAGAAAGGGTAGTGACAGTTTTTTATTAATTGGTGGATTTGTGAATTGTTTAACAAAAATAATTAAGGAGCTGGTGGGATATACTTTTTCTTCACAAATCAAACTTAAATATATATAGCTTTACCAAATGATTATGGAACATGTGGTATAGTCCACAAACAACTCAGAGAGACTAATTGTTTGGGTGGTCCAAGGAGATATAGCAAGGAACAATGCGATGAAAGTAAGTAATGTTAAAAACAGACTATTGGAATGCCCTTTAAAGGGAAGTGCTTGACCCATTTTAAAAATAGACTGGACAAAGCTTTTGTGTATACTACAGAAAACACTGCTGCATTATGACTGCTATAGACACAATAAACTAAATGGAGCTTTTCTATCTGTCATTCCTTAGCTTCTATTAAATGTCTTTCCCAATGACTGGAATGATTTACATTGCAATTGATTACTTGACAGTCTCCCATTTTCAAGGTGATTTGACCTTTGGCCATTATGTTTGGCAATACACGTAGTGAGTATTAAGTGAAATATATGTTGTACGGTTGTGTATTATTCTGAACTGTGATGCTAAGGTTTTTGTATTATGTTTGTGTTGTCATGAAATATGTGGTGACCACTTGTTCAAGAGAATAATCAGCATCAAATGTATATACCGAAAAATAAAAAAAATTATAGTTCCCTTAGTAGTGTAAATATACATGCTGCTGTATAGTGTGATCAAATCCTTAACTATTATTTATTTTAGTACTTGTTATGGAGGTTGCCAGAGGTTTGGGGAATATAAAAATAGGATTTTGGGGCAGATCTGGTGGCATGGAGTTGTCATTTAGCCACATCAGCTCCAAGATCGCAGGAGTAAGCCTACTTTCACAAAGTGCAACTTGGTGGATAATCTGTTTGTTTCTGTATTTCATGTTATACTTTCAAACAGAAAATAACATGAATCAAATGTTTATCTTTTGAAAAATCATATGTATTTTCTTTGTTGGAAGTTACTTCAGATTTGATCTAATGTTCATCAAAGTCAGTGGAAAGACTCCTATTGACTTCAGTGAGCTTTGGATCAGGCCCTTAGTCTTTAAGAATTTCTCTTTCCTGCAATGTTTTCATTCATGGCTTTGGTTCCACTTCAGCTTACTTTTAGAGCAGCTCTGACTTGTCTTAGGTCTTTGACAGCTAATAAAAAACACTTTGATAAGAGTAGAATAAAAACTGATAGAATAATTTTAATTTTATTTTAATAAAAATGCTTTTATTTTAATTGAAGCATAAGTACTTCTGTAATATTGTTTAATTGTCGCTGCCTACTTTCTGAACAAAAACATTCTAATTTTTAAAAATAAAAAAAGTCCTTGATATTTACCAGAGTTAGTTCAGATTTCTCTCATTGTTTGCCATAAGTGTTTCTAATTATATTAAGTAGGTTAATAGAATCTCTTTCAGTTATGTAAGTATTTTTCCTTTTAAATTACCCTTTTATTTTTTTCTAGGGCTTGTACGTGATCCGCTGTGTGGTAAAGACCCGCCTGCTTTTACTGATCTATGTTCTACTAAGGCCAGCTCAACAGTAATGCAGCATCTTCTCCTGCGAGGAGGAAGAAAGTCACAACTGATAAGCTTAGAGTCAGCATTTGCTTCTTTCATTTGTACTAAGATCTTCTTTCTGATGCATTGTCCATTGCTTCCTTCTGAAATGTATAATGCCAGAACTGTGAAGGCACAGCAGTGAACAACTTGCTCTCAATTTCGGACAAAATCAGTATTTGGACCCAAACTATTTTATGTTGCCAACATGACTTTGTTTTCCTCTGGTTTTTTTTCAATTGCTTTTTTAATTATTATGAACTTGTTTTTGTCAGTGCATGATTCTGCCTTTTAGCATGAGAGGAAGAAGAATGGCCTTGGAATTAAGGAACTGGACAAGGGCTCAGAACTTGGCTTACTTCCTGGTGCTGCCAAAGACTTCCTGTGTGACTTTGGAGAAGTTGCTTAATGTCAGTGTGCCTCACTGTAAAATAGTGACGATAGAATTGCACTGTCTCATAGGGGTATCATGAGGATAAATCAATAAATGGTGTTCAGAGGCTATAGCAATGTGGGGTCAAAATGGTACCCACATACCATCAAAGTGTCTTGGTTCATTCCATCTATGTTTGGTCCTGTGCACAGGGAGGGCCTTGAGCAGAGGCGCCACATTGGGGAGAGGGGGCACGGAGGGTCATGTGCCCCGCACCTCCCCACAAGAGTTGCTACTTGGCTTGTACTGAGCATGCTCAGTAACATCGGCTGAAGCAGCTGCCCTCATTCCATCCCCCCCACCTTCCACTGTCAGCAGGTACAGGTGGTCTCTGGCCTTAAGTATTAACCAGTCACACTGGGGGAACACAGTTTTTTTCACTCCTGGGCCCTTTTCCACCTACATTGTCATGGTGGCAAACAGTTTTATCTGTCTGGATGGTTCTGAACAGCCTTTTCCAGTCTCAATGCTGGTGTAATTTCATTTGGTGGGTAGTCACAAATGCATGTGCAGTGGCCATCTGTCTTCCTGTGCTGCCTACAGCAAGGCCAATAATCAGCTCAACATGGCTAGTGATCACCAGTCCAGGGAACTGAAAGCTTAAGGTTGTTCCCTATGGCCCAGCATAGCAACTTGCCCGCCTTTAATCACTCAAGTTTTAAAATTTGGTTTATAGAAATAACGAACGATGTAAGGTTAATAAGAAGAAGGGGTTTTAAGTGGGATATTTTGAACTAATCAATTCTTTTTAAGTGGGTATGTGGTGAGAACTCGAAGCTGATCTTGATGGATTATCATTACTATCAAACATTTCAAGAATGCAAGAAACATAAATGATTATCATTATTGTCATAGCTTTTCTCCCAAAATCTTTAAAAATGGACTATGACATCAAAAATACATGTTGAGTCTGGTAATCTGCTGTCTTTTTCATTGTCATGTTACAGTTTATTTCTTTAAAGATATTATCTTGCAAGTTTATCACTTTATGTATGTAGGGCTCCAAGCCACCCTGTATACTGGCATAAGGGGACCAGACACTGAGAATTCCATAAAGTGATATCTTCAAAGAAACAAAATTACAGGTAACTCATTTTCCCGTCTCTAAAGATACAAGTTACACAGTTCCTCATTCTTGGCTTTTGGTGGTGACTGTAAAGAGATGCAGAAGCTGAATAATGAAAGTAAAGATTTCAGCACTCTAGAGATAGTGGCAGTCATGTAGAATGCAGGGGGAAAGAATGCCTCTGTCCTGGTGTGGCCTGCTGTTATTGCTGCGTATAGAGAAAGGAGCTGGCTGTGCAGCTCTGACATTAGCTCAGAAGTAACTTGTAATCATGTTTTAATTGTGTACTATAAACTGTTTTCTTCATCAGGTTTCTCCCTCCTTTGCTCAGAGGGTAACTGTTGGAGTCTGGGGTCCTGGACACCCTGTTCTCCTCATATGCCTTGGCCAGTGCCCTAACTAACAAGGCATTTGTGGGCTCAAAACTTTTAGGGGACCAGTAGGGAGTTGGCAGTGCTGTGGGGAGGCCAGAGGAAAGCTCCAAGGGTTGCCCATCCTCCAGCCTTGGAGGGTATGTGTACACTGCAAGTAGATCCCCATGGCTGGCACAGTCCACCTGACCTGGGCTCACGGGGCTTGGGCTGACAACCTTGCAGGGTCCTAGAGTGGTGGGGCTCCAGCTGTCAGCCCCACCTGACCAGCCCAGGATGGTGGGGCTTGGGCTGATCAGCCCGGGATGGGTAGGCTTGAGCTATTAGCCCCACAGCGGTGGAGCTTGGACTGTCAAAGACAGCAACAGGCGATGAAAGCAATGCAGCTTATACATGGAGACTCCATCGACCTAAGTGTTATGCCTTTCACAGAGGGTGGAGGTATTAGGTCGGTGTAGTGGGCGACTTACATCGGCGGGAGCAACATTATAATGAAGATGCTTACAAAGTTAGGTCAACATAAACTGCATTACATCGACCAAACTCTGTAGTGTAGACCAGGCCTCAGGTCGGCTCCCTATGGGAGTTGGCATATTTCCCTAAACTGAGAGCTCTATGCCACCATCCAGATATCATATCTGGACGCTGGTATATCATTGGTGCTGACATGCCTGTCTTATCTTGACTAATGGTAGTGAGAAAAGGGAAGTTCAGGCAGCAATATCTGAGGGTGCTGGTTCTTGAAAGGAGGTATGTAGTGTTTGTCAGCTGTTTTGTGTTCCTCAGTCCAATAGTCTTGTGCCTGTGCCATTAGTGCAGTGATGTGGCTGGAATTAGGGGCCTTGATTCATCAGTCTTGGCTGTTTAGGACAGGACAGCTGATTTTAAGAAGCCATATATACCACATGTGTATGCCAAGAAGCAAGTTGCAGGTAGTGCTAGGAATTAATATAGAGGTGAATTGTGACACGAGAAAGCACCTCAAACTTCAGAGCATTTTTCCATTCTCCCCACTGCCCAGTATATGAGGGTCTAAGCATAAGGAGACACTGGTAGCCACTATCATCCTAGTACAGGGAGAGTTTGGGACTCTCTTGCATATAGCACTTCTGCAAAGGGCATCAATATCTCCTCAGTGCATTGGAGCACACTTCAGACAAAGGGAGGAGAGAAAGGATGGTCAGTGGTTGGGACATAGGCCTGGGAATACTGTTCCCAGCTCTGCCATAAATTTCCTGTGACCGTGGTCATATCACTTAGTCTCTATGTCACAATTCCCCAACTGTAAAATGCAGATAATAGCACATCCCTTTCTCACAGGGGTGTTGTGAGGATGAATACATTAGAAATTCTGAGGTGCTCAGATACAATAGCAATGGCAGGATAAGGAGCTAAGATAGCTAGATGGGGCGTGGTGAATGGAAGTGCTCCCATGGCAACATTGAAGTGATGGTCTATTGTATTCCACTGAGGGTTTACACGTGTGCCATGTGTCCGGAGCCAGAGAATTTGAAAGTAGGAACGTCCATTGGTCCATGCATGCTCTCTTTCTTCGCCTCACAGTTTTGTCTGAGGCTATAAAGGGCTGGGTGCACCAACAGCATCTCCAGTCCCTTCTCATCACTGCATGCTCTCAGTCAGAGCTGCTAGTATTCTCTCCTCTTTAATGCACTTTAAAAAAAAGTTTTAAAATTGTATATATAGTTTTTCTTCTCCTGTTTTATTATTTCTTACATAAATAAGTAGTAGTTTTAGAAAGACTGGGACTTCAGGGGAATCTGTTTACTGGTTTCCTCCCCACCTCCCACTGCACCCGAACACACATACGCGGGTATTGGATTATTCCAAAGATGTCAGGATTCAAGATCTGCACCTCTTGCCTGTGTTTGTTCTCAGTCAGCGACAAGCACCAATGCTGCCTTTACTGCTTGGGAGAAGCAGGGCTGGATTACCCAATAGGCAGACTAAGCATGTGCTTAGGGCACCAGCAAAGCAGGGGGCATCAAAAAAAAAAAAGAGATTTTTTTAGCAGGCCATATCTCAAAATATGGGAATGCTGGCAAAAGTAACCCATCATACTTATCCAAGACCATATGTGATGAACTCATTGGTATAATGAGTGACAAAGTTCATTCAGCTATTGTGGATGAAATAAGTATTGTTGGGTACTTCCGTTTATCTGTCAACTCTACATCTGATCTTTCACATATTGATCAGTTGAGTATTGTACAAAGATATGTGTCTCCCACAGATGGAAAACCTGTTGAACGATTTATAACATTCCTCAATTTGAAGAGCCACACTGGTGAAGAAATGGCAAATCAAGTACTGCATTATCTGTGCCAAGTTTGCAAAATAAATTTTTCAAAGTGCAGAGGTCAATCTTATGACAACGCTACCAAGATGTCAGGGCGTTATCAAGGAATGCAGAAGAAGCTCTTAGAACAGAACAAATATGCCATATTCATACCATGAGCTGCACACACTCTCAATCTTGTTGGCCGTGGTTCTGTTGATTGTTGTCCAGTGGCAGTAAGTTTTTTCTCAACAGTCCAGTTACTTTATACATTTTTCTCTGCCTCAACACACTGATGGGCAGTTCTTAAAACATATTTGGGCAATGATCAAAATCTGTTTCTGTTGAAATCTCTTGTGTTGAAATCTCTTTCTAATACTCGCTGGGAGGCACGTGCAGTGGCAACAAGTGCAATTCTGGAGTTCTACTCAAAGATTGTGGATGCATTAGAAAGTGTAGCTGAAGAACAATCGTAAAAGGGAGAAACTATACAAGAGGCAGAAAACGTTGCAAACAAGATGCAAGAACTAGAGTTTGTATTCATGTTGACCATGTGGAATGAAATTTTACAACACTTTTACCACACAAGTCAAGCTCTCCAAGAAAAAGAATTGGATCTGAAAACATGTACAGACCTCTGTCAATCATTAGCAGACCACTTACACACATTGAGGAATGATTTCGAAAGATTTGAAGACATATCAAAAGATATGTTGCTTGATACTAACTACAAAGAAGCCCAGTCCTGAAGCAAATCAGGAAAAACCAAGCAAATGATAACAGTGCAACAGAAACAGCATTGAATCCTAGAGACAAATTTCCCATATCTACTTACTACACTATAATTGATACACTTGAAGCTCATATGAAGAGGAGAGGTGAACTTATCCAGAATTTTGTAATCAGAAAATCTAGAAAGAATTTTAATTTCAGCATACACGTCAGTTTTGTGTCATTTCGGAAAATAAAATTTTATTTTACGGTATAGTATTGTTTTTATTTTGAATTACATATGGGGGCGGGTGGGCACCATAATCTTTTCAGTGCTTAGGGCCTCTAAAGGTCTTAATCTGGCCCTGAAGAGAAGCCCACATTTCATCCAGCTACAGTATCTGCCAGTCCTTCCCAAGCCGTACCCGAGAAGGCTGGGCTCTTCACTTCAAGAAGTGCCTCATGGAAGTCACCATCAGGCCTCAGTCAGAAACAGACTGGGGAACCACCACAGCACATTGGCCTGAGAAAGTCAAGAGTGTGCCTCCTGCTACAGAAATTGAGTCTGGCTCTGGCACTACCACCGCTACGAACCCTGTGCCACAGCCTACTCGGTAGGCAAGGAAGCATGTGCATAAGCATGACAGTTAGTCTTCCTCCAAACTGAAGAAGAATGATGCACCTTCCACAAGTTTTTGGCCACAGAGATGCAGTGTGTTCCAAGGTGCACAAGGATGACAAGAAGTCACGTAGACTGCTGGATCTGCCGGTACCGAGCCCTGAGCCCCACATGCCCTTAATGTCAGCCTCCCTTATGACAAAGGATCTGCGGACAGTCCTCTGCTCCAGTTCTGGCTCTGGCTATGGAGTGGGTGCCATTAATGCCAGGACAATTGGAGAAAGCACCAGAGCCACATGAGCAGTTAACCCTAAGGGAACTGAGATATCCACGCCTTCCTCTGCCATCCACACCTAGGGAGGTCCGATCTCCTATCAAGGACTTGCCACAGTCAGGCTGCGCTTCAACTCCTCCTCCTGTGGTTTACATGCTTCTGCCGGTTCCAACAGTACCACCATTGGACCCAGGATCTGAGCTTTCCTCATCAGAGGATTCCAGTGCAGCACAAGAGCTGCCCATTCCCTACCACTGGTACGAGTATTCAAAAGGACCACCATCGGCATGGCATTATCCTCCTCTCCAGCAGCAGGGAAGTCGCTAGTTGCTCTCTCCATGGGGCCAGCCACAATATCTGCGGGATCAGTCTTGCTGGTCCTATTGGGGATCCTGGCCCCAGTACCACTCTTGGAATCCACCCGCTCAGCAAGGGAGTCTTCACCCTGTCCCTGCTAAGGGCACCCTCGAGCAGGCACTCTGAACTGGTTATCGAGGACAAACCACTCAGTCTGGTTCCGTCGGTATTGCCAGAGCAAAAGCATTTCCCATCATCCTCTCCACATGCTGCAGTAACATCAGCCTCCCCTTTGCCTCCAGATGACTCGGCAATTCCAAGAACTCCTACAAAAGGTGGCAGTGAGCTTCATGTTCCACTGCAGGAGGTACAAGACAAGCAGCATAAGATCCTGAACATGCTTCATTCCTCAATACTG